GCAAGTTCTACTACCTGAAGAGGCAGTTTGAGCTGACATCAACATGCTGTGACATCAGATGCGACCGGAAGCAATATGACAGCTTTGAGAAAGATGTTGACCTATACACGAAGTTCTACAGGAAGACTCCGTTGCACTCCAACTATGGCAAAAGAGATGACTCAGAACCTTTGCAAGGTGAAGAAGTGACCAAGTTCAGGAGCATCGTGGGACGCTTGATGTACATGGCCGGAGAGAGACCAGACGCCCAGTTTGGCATTCAATGTCTTGCCAGACAAATGGCCAAACCCACGAGGCAGTCAATGGAGAATGCCTGGCATATTTGCTCCTACATGTTCGGCACTGGCGGCTATGGAGTGAGGATTGACCTCAGGGCAAAAGGACAATCCGTCCTGGACATGAGAGAAGCAGAAGAAGTGGAAGACCAAGAAGAACACTTGCTGGAAGTGGTCACAGACGCAGACTATGCTGGCAACAAGAATGACCGCAAATCGACAACTTCCTTCCAGATTTTCCTGGACGGAAATCTCATGGAGTCGAAAGTCCGTGCTCAGAAGGCAATTTCGCTTTCTTCAGGCGAGTCTGAATTTGTGGCCATGGTCGGAGGATGCAGCGATGGACTCTTGATCCGACACTTGTGGAACAAGATCACTGGCGGCAACTGTGTGATGAAGGTCAGGTCTGATAGCTCAGCTGCGAGAGCAATGGCACAGAGACAGGGCATCGGAAGAGTGAGACATCTTGATGCGGCACTCCTATGGATCCAGCAAAAGGAGAAAGAGAAAATCCTGTCCGTGGCGCCGATCCCCACAGAGATCAATTCAGCAGATCTCGGGACAAAGAACCTGTCGCGAAAGAGGTTTGTGGGATTACTCTACATGTTGAAGATGGTGGATGCGATTGGCACACGTGTTGGAGAGAACGAGTACAAGGAGATCGAAGAGGGCTACAAGATGAAGCAGAGCATGAAGAAGATTGGCAAGTCTAAAGATGACAGGATTTGCTTGCTGATGCTCTTGTCGACGCTGGACAAAGCAGCTGGTTCAACCACAGAGGAAAAGAGCTATGAAAGTGGCCTCGATTGGATGTGGTTCACTATGTGCTTGTGTGCATGCATAGGAGCCTTGAGCATTTGTCAGTGGCTGCGGGTCTATATGACTGAGTTCATGCATGGCACGAGCAACTCCTTCCTGAAGTATGTGCGAGAGCTGTTCACGGTGAAGGTCAAGGTGACCTTTGAGAAAGAAGCTCAGGCATCGATCGGGCCAGAGCAACTTGGTTTGGAGAAGTGTGAGAAAGAGATGAACAGGATGCAGAACGAGTGCTTTTTGAAAGACACCTACATCGAAGAATTGGAAGAACAAGTACGAGAACTGAAAGAGAGAATTTTAGAATTTGGTCAAGAGCTGCAACTGCAGAGCAGAAGCTCGACCAAAGAGTGTTTGCAAAACATGAACAGTTTTCGCATGACGAAGGTGGGATCAAAGATCCATTTTTCCCCCAGATGCCTCCACTGGCAAGGGGGCATGGAAGTAAAGTTTTGTGTTTGGTGTCTGAGTGGAGGGAGCATGTTAGAATCTCATGGAACGTCATAGACATCCACTCAGACACGACACGCACAAACCGAGAATCCGCAATCGCCGGATATAGGCTCAATCCCCATTTGAAGAAAGGGCGCTTCCCGCTTTCATATATAACTAAGTATATGAGTGATATGGACGAGAACACTGACAAACTGGCAGAACTGACAAACAAACTAAACAGGTGTAATAAGAACATAAAAAAACCATAATGGAGACTTTGAAGACCATTGAGGAGACTCCCTGAACCTAAAAAGGAGGAGAAGAAGGATGATAAGGAAAGGATGGATACAATATGTGAAAAGAGGCAGATAGGAAGACCCGTTGGTTCGTGGGATGAGAAGAGGAAACAATACTTGGAGTGGATTAACAAATGTAAAATTACTCAACCCAAAGAGCAGACGCTTGAATACTACCAAATCGTTAAGGATGTGGAAGAGGGGAAAGATATTTTGATATGATAGTTTCATATTAAAATCTATAGAGTTTTAATATGAAACTATTGGAGTTATTTAGTGGAACAGGCAGTGTTGGTAGAGTTGCTCGTGAGTTCGGTTTTAGTGTCATCTCGTTAGATTTGAAGAACGCTAATATCAATTACTGTAAGATATATTACAATGGGATTATTCAAAGTGTGACAAAGACTTTGATATAATGTGGGCATCGCCTCCTTGCACTGAATATAGCAGAGCAAAAACGTCAGGAGTTAGACACATAGATTATGCCAATAGCATTGTTAAGAACACTATTGAAATCATTAACTACTTTCAACCGAGAATATTTCTCATAGAAAATCCACACACGGGACTTTTGAAGGAACAGGACTTTATGAACGATTTTGATTACTATGATGTTGATTATTGTAAATATGGTTTCGATTATAGGAAGCGCACCAGATTATGGACGAACTTGAAGAGTTGGAAACCCAGACCCTTATGTAAGAAAGACTGTAATAGCATGATAGGCAACAGGCATAAAGAGACAGCAAAGAGACTACCGTGTAAAGGAAGGTGGAAGGAACAAAGGAAGAAGACACAGGATGAACTATACAGAATACCGGAAGAACTGATTTATGAGATACTATCAAACCTTTTAGTATCTCGTGGCGAAGGAAGGGTTTATTCAATCCTTCCAGTTGGAAAGTTCTGTTTCCCGTCGTGTCGTATTCTATCTTTCTCACTTTGTAGTTTTCTTTAGACAATTTGCTATTGTATTCTTTCCTGTCGGTGTAGTTGCCTCTTCCTTTGGTGAAGATTTTGACTGTATCGTTTTCTTTAATCTCCTCATACTTCCTCGTGTTCTTTTCTCTTGTCAGATTTACCTTTACATCCATATGGTTCTTGTCGTCGTGGGCTTCATTGGGTGTGAGTTTCGTGGACGAGTGTTTGGTGCTGTTGTATTTCTTCAAGACGAGTGGAAGCATACTTGTCCATCCTGCCTTATTAAATCTGACCCTGTCGTGTATCATATTTTTAAGTGTCCTGATGAAACGTTCCACGACATTAGCGTGTGCTCTTGTGATGATGTGATTGATGGCTTCGTCTTTAAAGAACTTTGACACTACTGTTTGAAATGCTCCGTCATCATCGGAATATATACTCATTGGAAAACCCATCTTCTTAAAACTTTGCTTCAACGCTGGTAAGACCGTTTCTCCGTCTCTCTGCTTCATTGGCACGACGTCGCCCATCTTACTGAATATATCCATAACGACTAAAGCACAGGGTGGCTCGGAATTCTTCATTGGTATTTTTGCCTCCGGAACTTTGGTTAAAGGCTTCATAGGCATTATGTCAATTTGATACTCAAACCTTGAGAACGGAGCGGTGTATGAGTTTGAACCTCTATAACCTCTAATCTGTTTGTTGGGCTGTTTTTCATAAAAGTTTCTACATCTACCCTCGTTATGGATGGGTCTTGTTCTTTCGCTTGTTTTAGGGTGTCTTGGATTCACCCGAAACCCTTTTCCAAATCGAAATAGACATTGCTTATTATCTGTTCTTTTGTCAATCTTCTTGCCATTATTATAGTCTTAGATTTTAAGATTTTCTTAAATAATCAAAAATATACTTAAAGAAAAAATGAAATATAAAGGTAAGAAAGCAAAGATGACCAAATTTGACTGTGGATGTCGGATAATGACTGAAGTTATTTCCTTGAATGAATGGAAAGAACCGAACCGGACTTATTTGTTAAAGACCTTCGTGAATATGTGCGGGAAGTGTGGAAAGAGACAAATGATATTCCAGGCTATGGAAAACACACTTTTAGAGATGGACAAGGTGAGAATGAGAAAGTTTTTTGAAAACGATGTCAGTGATGATGAAGAGGAGGATACATACTTTGACTTGAAAGAGATGAAGGAACACCTTAAAGCCTACCACCCGATGAGAGGAAAGGCGTAAAAGACCTTGAGAGGTTGAGGAACTTGGCGAATGGAAGAAAGGCAAACGAAGGACTACACGAAATTGATATGGTGATAAAAGAACTGGAAGATGAGGAAAGGAAAAAGGAAAACCAACCGGAACCCGAAAAATGAACCAGCCACCAAAAACTACTTAAAGAAAAATTGGCTATATGTATTAAGAGATGCTATTTACATATGGAAACTGTAGATGTTGTAAACATGAAAGTGCCAACGTCAAGGTTCTATTGAACAATATTTTCCCCGTGGGAATTTGTGATATGATATGTGATTACAACACCCACTGTTTCAAATGTAATAACTTGATATTCAAGGAAAAGGAATACATAAAGGAAGAAAACCAATCGAAAAGAATACACCATTACCTAAAGCACACTGAACCACTAACAACAACTGGAAGACAAATATATTTCTTCCAAACAGAGATGCCATCACCCATCTTTTTAAGCGACACTAACAGAACAAACGTGAGAGTGATGAGAAGGGAAATAGACAGGTTGATGGAAACGCCGGAACTGAAGGAAAGGTTTAAGCACAATAAACTATATCTACAGGCAATCAAATCATATGTAAAGAAGAACTGGAGATATACCTACCACATCCTCAAAAACTTTAACGACCTTGAAATGATGACTTATAATAGGAAAACATAAGTTTGGTGGTTGCCAGAGAATGGAGCGATTTATGACTTCAGACATCGTGGTTGATCGAATATCCACGAACGCCGCAACTCGTCTTCTCAAGCTTCATGGAACACTGGGTAGGGGGTCTCGTCACCCTCTTGCAGGCTTCCACATACCTCGCTTGCCCAGCTCACTGCCATCCGAGCGTTCTCGCCCCGTTCGTCTTTGGATTTGCTACAGGTATCCTGGTTTGCATATCCCTGGTTTCCATCTGTGGTTGTCTCTTTCTTTGGCATTTACCTGCTTTCCGGCCTTGGATTTCTCAGTCGCCGGTCGTGCGCCGGGCTTCGAATAGGTTGAGGGGGTACTTGCATGAGCACTAAGGCTTCGTTAGCTCCGCTTCGTGCTGAGTTGCTCAAAGTTTCTGAGGATCTTGCATCCATAGGAGAGAGAGTCAAGCAGTTGGCCCAGCGATTGAACGAGCTGGAAGGTTCAGCGAACGAGGATTTAGAGTGGGAGGTGATCGAGGAAGGGAACCTGCCCCTTGGGGTGTCAGACCTGGAATTCCCCTACCCAGGCGCAAGTCAGGTCCCGCAGGCACAGCCGATACCCTCCGTGCCTAGGTACCTGTCGGATTTGTGTCAGGAGAGGTTGAAGTCAGTTGCATCTACTTCCCCCCTGGAACGAGCTCAGAGGGCTTTCACTCAGGGACATCTGGCCTGGGTGGCCAGAGTGACCGGGCTGCACTATAGACCAGCAGACGCGGTGCCTGCGCTCCCGAGCGCTCATTTCGTAGTCATCCGGGGTCTGGGACTTAGTCAAGCTCTTAGGACAACCACCAAGCGTGAAGCCCTCCGTGCCTTGGCAGTTCAGGACGACACAGCTATCATTGAGGATTTCCCATCATTCGAGGTGCAAGTGTTCTGCGTGGGCGCACGCATCTGCGTGCCTCCACTGAAGCGATGCAAAGGTCCAGCCTCCGCCTCGCGGAAGTAGGGGACCCAAATCTCCTAGTGTTCTCAATCCCTTCGGAGGTTTCAAAAACCGGAGGAAATTTGCAGGTTTTCGCTATACCTGTCCTGCAGAGGGACGGGGGATTTTTGGTTGCACTACCAGTGGAGTCATTTTCGAATGAAGCTCTGGAGACAGCAGCACATGCAGACGAGCACGAACTTTTGGGGCCTTCCCACACATGTGTCGCTCAGCTCAGCGAGGAAGATGAGAATGGCCAAGAGGTCATGATAGACCAGGAGATCCTGGTCCTCTTGGTGGATGTGTCGAACCAGGCACTGCAGGCTCTTAGGGAGTATGATCCAGTGACGGATTCACTGGAGACGATTCATCCTTTTGATGATCAGTTTCCCCTAGCACTGCCTACAGCTGCCTCTCTGGTTGCCGCTGCCAAAGCCTGGATGGGAGAAGAAGATCAGGGCAGGCTAAATTTTTACTCGGCTCGAGAAGAGCCGGCAGAAACTCCTGTACGCTCAAAAGCGGCTGCGAAGAAGGCCACCCCCAAGAAGATCACAAATGCAGTCCTGGCGGAGCAGGTAGCATCCCTCTCCTCACAGGTGGAGGCCCTGATGGCATTGCAACGTCAAGCACCTACAGAGCCCGCCAAGGCGGCTGTCACATATGCAGAGCCTGCCGGAGGACAATCGCCTGGCGTCAGCAGACATGCATACCCACAGCTTCCGGCCCTGGGGCAAGGCTTTGCCCACCTAGGTCATCCCAAGGAAGCCACAGCAAAGAAGGTAGCCGCAATGGTGGGGCCACCGCCCAAGACCAGAAAAGCTCCCCCGGCTCAAGGGGCCTTAGCACTACCAGACCCGTTCATACCAGAGGAACCACGAGATCTCTTTCCAGCGCAGATAGAGACTCATCCCATGCTCAGTGCGTTAGCCCAGCAAAGCACGGCTCTGACCACCTTGGTCTCGCACTTGGCGGGTCATGCGTCGGACCCTTTGGTGGATCTGCAAGCAGGAGGCCTGTCGGGAAGTTCTTCTTCTACAAGAGGCGTTGCCAGGAGAGAAAGAATGCAGACAGACCTGGCCTTGCGCCAAAGTCAGTACTGGCTTGCATTCCTGCAGCAGCTGTCCAGGAAGATGAATCCCTCAAAGCCAGTTCCTACAACGGAGGAGGCTGCAAAGGATGCAGGCCTGTCTTTCCTGGCCTACCTGGAGAGACATGGCGCCTACAAGCAGTCTCGGGAGCTGGGGACCATTTTGTGGGTCCTTGGATACATCATAGATGCTGCCATTGCACAAGACTTCGACGGTGTAAAAGAGCACCTGGCTTTGTTTGCAGCCGCCCTAGACCAAGCTGCTCTGGATCAGAGTTGGACGACAGCGTTCCTGGTGACTCTGGTGGAGGAGCCTCCTCCGGTGCTCTTTGCAGAGAAGGGAACCCCACTGTCAGTTGCCAAGCCATTCACCCCCCTCATGCCTGCCGTGTGGGGGGGGGTCCTTCTAGCCTATCTCAAGGACATCGACATCATGACCAGCAAGAAACAAGAGGGAGGAGGAAGGAAGACCGGTCAACAAACCTCGCAAGAGCAGAAGGACGGGGAAGCCTCTCCAAAACGCAGACCCCGCTTCCCGAAGAAGCCCAAAGGGGGGGGGGGGCAGCCAGACACAGGCGTGAGCAATGAGGCTGGCCAGCTGACAGGAGAGGCGCAACCAGCACCTCCTGTCGACAAAGGTCAGGAGAATTCAAAGCATGTTAGACCTGGAGAACACGTCTTCAGCAAGTACAACCATGAAGCAAAATTCAATGCATTGCAACAAGACATGACGCTTACAAAGTGGTGCGCATGCTTGACCTCGGCAGTCTTGAGGACGAGAACTCCTTTTGTTGCCCACTTGGCTCAGACTTTCCACCTGCATCGTACTGACCTCAGTACGGCACTGGCCTTTTTCCCGGTCCCGCTCCCTACAGGTGAGCACTGGGCACGGATGCCCCCAGACCTCTCTCAGAAGAGACGTAGACAGGTCCACTTGAATCGTGCAGTCCACATCATTGTTTTGGCTTTGAACTACTACCACAATGGTGGCCCACGCAAGCTGGATTTGTTGGGGAGAGCTCCTTCTACTTCGCACCGGAGCCTTTATGCGAGGATCAGGAGCTTGATAAGGTCAGAGGGCCAAGTTGCGATTCCATGTATTGCAAACTCTGGCCGTAGGTTACCTCAATTAGTTGCAAGGTTGTCAGAGCTTTCAGTGGCATTGACGGCTATGGGGCCCTCCTGTAACCCCTATGACCGAAGCTTCGATGGCTTTGAAGTGCTTCCGGATACGGAGGCTGATGAGTTGAAACCATACAGGAACCTGGACTCATCCAGACTGGTTTTAACAGGCAGAGGGGCATGGGATGCCACAGAGTATCTCGAGGACGAGCTAGTACTGGCCTACAGAGAGCCGGCCTCTCTTTTGTTCAGCCATGAACCATGTCCGTCACAGGTCCCAGCAATTTCTGACCATCCTTCGGAAGTGGCAGCGCTGGCGAGACTTTGGGACAATCAAGATTTGTTGTACTTACATGACGGCAAGGATTTTGAGCTGAGCCCACAGTGTTTTACAAGGGTGTTCAACGCCTACAAAAAATGCCAAGATGGACAGACAGATCGGAGACCGGAGGTCTAGAAATAGCTGCGAGAGCCGTGTGCGAGGTCCGAGCACTTTTCTCCCCTCTGGGCCTGACTTGTCAGACTGGTATTGCAACCCCAAGACCCACTACATTGCACAGGGGGTCACTGATCGCAAAGATTTTTATCACCAGTTCCATGTCTCTAGAAGTCGCGCTTTTTCGAACACGGTAGGCCCTGCGGTTGAGATCGAAGATGTAAAGAACCTCAAGGCCTATTCAGATTACATCTTGCGCCAGGCAAAAGGGCGCTACCAACGAAGCCTTCACGGAGACCGCCTGGGGATGAAAGGCCTGAGAGCCGCGCAGAGGAAGCCTCAGCAACTTTTTGTGGCCTTCAGATCTGTGCTACAAGGGGATCATGCAGGGGTTGATATAGCCACCAGCGCTCATACAGCACTTTTACAATCTCATGGCCTTCTAGAGGAGAGTTGTCAGCTGCAGAGTTGTAAGCCTCTTTTTGACCTGGAGAACTGTGAAGGACTGTGCATAGACGACTACTTTGCTATGAGCCTGGAGCAAGTAGGCACTCCGTTGCAGGCCTCAAAAGCCAGCCAGAAGATAGGCGCAGCACGGGCTGCCTATAGGCAGGCCGAGCTGTTGGGGAGCCCGGAGAAGGACATCCTAAGTGATAAAGCGAAAATCGTAGGTGCGGTCGTGAACTCATCCTCAACCGCTAGGGATCAGGGGTTGGTCACCCTGTCCGCCCCGATCGAAAAACGGATTGCGTTATCAGTGATTAGTTTGCAACTTGCCACACTCACACACACCACCGATGCGTTGCATGTTTGCCTGGTAGGAGGGTGGATCTCTGCAGCCATGTATAGGAGGCCTGTTATGGGGCTCTTCCACAAAGTTTTCAGCTTGGTCGACAGTGCCTCTATTGACCCAAACCATCCGAAGATCATCCGCTTGCCCAGGACCACCGCAAACGAGTTAGTTCTGGCCTCGGTACTAGTCCCACTCATGTGCGCCGAACTTAGTGCAGAGTTCAGCACTCAGGTTTTCTGTAGTGATGCCTCAAGTAATGTGGGAGCGTTTTGCGCAGCCACTGTGCCGCGTGCAGTCTCGAGAGTGCTTTGGAAAGCCTGTAAGTCAAAGGGTGCATACACACGCATGATGTCCCCGGTTGAAGCGGAGATCTTTAAGCTCGGAGGCTCGGAAGAGTTCGAAGGGAAGGAAGAGGTAAAGCCGACCTCGATCAGAAGGCCCTTGGCCTATCGGTTTGACTTTATAGAACTTTTCGCAGGAGCCGCAAAGGTCGCCCATTCCATGGAAGCAAAAGGCTGGTCAGTAGGGCCCCCCATTGACTTGAGTCACAGCCCCGAATATGATATGACTAGCCATTATCTGATGTCATGGTTAAGCCATCTGATTCAGAGTCATGCCATAAAAAGTTTTGCCTGCGAACCACCGTGTACTACTTTTTGCATCATGCGACGGCCGCAATTGAGGTCAAAAGAAAGACCATATGGCTTCGATCCTAGCCATCCACAAACCCATACAGGCACCGCGCTTGCCCTTCGTGGTTTGCAGTGCCTTGAGTTGGGATGGAGACACGGGGTCCCAGGGTGGCTTGAAACTACGTATTCATCTAAGATGAAGTTTCTCCCACCTTATAAGACTCTTAGGGCCAAAAGGTGCGTGGACTTTTGTCGAACCGATTCGTGCCGTTTTGGATCCCCTCACTTAAAACCTTTTGCTTTCCTCAGCGTTTGGGCTCCCCTCGACCGTATCCGTCAGAGATGCGTCTGCAAAGGCAGGCATGTAGTGATCGAAGGAAAACTCACGAAGGCTAGTGCCATGTATACTGATGGGCTGGCCGACGCCCTGGCCACTGTCCTTTCAGAGGCCATCAATGCCAGGGCCAGCGCAGATCTCGAGTGGGATCAAGTCCAGACGGCAGGGCTTGAGAATGCTTTAGTGAACCAGGTTGCTCTGGAAGCACCCTGGTCTACCCTCAGGTCCTGGCCTTTTCGTCGCCCGGTCCACATTAATATCCAAGAAGCTGTCTCAGTCCTTAAGGTAGTTGAGCATTTGATTTTGAAGTGGGGACCTCAGAGGGCAGCCATTTTGGTCGACTCCAATGTTGTGAGGTGCGCAGTCTCTAAGGGACGCACTTCCTCGAAAGGTCTGATGCCTGTCATTGCTAAGGTAAATGCCTTGTGCCTAGCAGCGGGCGTGCAGATCTGTTTACCTTTTTGTCCCACCAGACTAAACCCATCAGACGACCCAACCAGAGGAGCCGCTCTGAGAAGCCCCATTCAAGGCTGTGACTTGTTTAGTTTTTCGGAGGGCGAACTTGCACAGCTCTCAACTTGCGCCGGCCTTAGACGTTGGAGCGCAAATTGGGTCCGCCTGATGCTCAGCTTGCTAGGTCCCGGCCTTGTTTTCTTAAAGGATCGGAGCCGCTTTCGATCGCCCTGTGCCTTGGATTTCAGACCGTCGCTTCAAACACACTTCGAGAAAGGTTTTGATCAGACCCTTGGATACCCAGGGGAGGGGCCAGGCACTTTCGATCCTGCTTCTCGGCACACGGTTCTGCATAATTGTCGGCTGGAATTTGATAGAACCTTGGGTTTCCCTGGAGAAGGTCCTTCTCCACTCCTCTTCATCTCTCTGCTCCTACTCCTCTGTTTGTTTCAGGGCAAGCGAGACGCGCCTCTCTTGTGGATTTCAGGAGCCATTTTGGGGGGGCCGCGATACGCCATGGGAATGCCACTGAAACCACGAAACTCTGGAGATAGAGCGAGAGCTGAGCACAGAGCCCAGAAGTTACCTTTAGCTTCAGGACGACCTGTACTGCAGATCACCGCCAAGCACCGAGAGGAACTTCTGGAGGCCTTCAGAGCCTGGCTGCTGACAAGGGGGTTGGAACCTGGTGACCTTTTTTACAATACCTATCAGACAGTTGAAGAAATCAACATCTTGTTGACAGCGTACGGCCGTGAGCTGTATCGGGCCGGCAGGCCACTCAACCACTTCTCGGAGACCATAAATGCAATAGCATCCTGGAAGCCACAGCTGAGAAGGGCCCTTCAAGGGGCCTGGGACCTGGCCTATAGCTGGGTCAAATCCGAACCATCTACACACCATACAGCTATGTCTCCCCAGGTTCTGATGAGTTGCATCTCAGTCTGCTTGATCTGGGGTTGGGTGCGTCTGGCAGGCTGCCTAGCCCTAACATGGGGAGGTTTACTACGGGCAGGTGAACTCCTACAAGCCCGACGCCAAGACCTGCAGCTGCCGTCGGATCTGGCAGGAAGTGTGCCCTTTGCACTCCTTTCCATAAAGGAGCCGAAAACAAGGCACACAACCGCGAGGCACCAGTGTGCCAAGCTCGACATTCCAGACTTGGTGCAGCTGGCAGAGCTCGCCTTCCAGAAGTTAGCGCCCTCCGAACCTCTTTGGGACATGAGCGCTCAAACGCTCAGGTCTAGATTCAAGAGCCTACTACAAGCCCAACGACTTCCAACAAGTACTTACAGAGGGATGAGAGCGCTTGACTTGGGATCGCTCCGCCCAGGCGGAGCAACGCACATATTACAACTGACTGAAAGTGGAGACTTGGTGATGCGCCGCGGGCGCTGGGCAAGCTACAGAGTAATGAGCATTTACATTCAAGAAGTCACCTCTACCTCCTTCCTGTCAGTGTTGGACAAGGACGTGAGAGACAACATCCTTGACCGAGCCCAGTGCTTCTCTTACTTTTTGGAACAGGCAAAGGCTTTTGAATCAGCTAGGATCCCAAGAGATGTATGGCACTTTTTGTTTGGCGCCACCCAGAAGAAAGACGCTTGAACGAGCTGGGGTTGAATGGGAAGAACGGGTGGCTTTGCATTCCAGATGAGCTAAGTTTGCTCTCTGTGTGTGTACAACCGCATGAGCGGGTGGAAAATGGATCACCGAGTGGAAGTTGAGTTGATGATCGAATATCCACGAACGCCGCAACTCGTCTTCTCAAGCTTCCCACCCGGGAGGCCCGCCCTTATCTCTGGGTGGCTTTGCATTCCAGATGAGCTAAGTTTGCTAATGGATCACCGAGTGGAGGTTGAGTTGATATATAGTCAAACATATTTCGGAAATCTTTTTGCGTGAATACTTCAAAGAACTCTTCGGATACTATGAGCACTACATCAACGAAACAGAAATAGAAGAGCACCTACAGAAAGTGATAAAGACTTAAAGAACAAATACCTATATATAATAAGAGAAGAATGACAAGTGCTAAAGTCTATGATATGAGTGAAGTATCAGAAAATGTAGGGTTGTATATTGAAGTTGGTAGTGACAGTGAGGGTGAAGACTGGGAGAGAGAACAGATAGAAAAAGAAGATGAAGAGATTAGAGACTTTGTAAAATGTAATCCTATGCCTTCTCCTGATGATGAGGGTGGTAATGAGTTCTGGTTCAAAGTGGTTGATAGGTTGAAGGCAGACCAAGGAATAAACGGTATGATAATCTTTTCATTTGCGGACTTTGACATTGTAAAAAGAATGTATGAAAACCAAACGGACAAAAAGGTCATCATTGAATGTGGTAAAGAACTCAACAGTGATGGAGGATGGGATGCTATGGCAATAAGCCAAACTCTTTTAGCATTAGCGATCGATAAACTGAACGATACAGATAAACCTATCACAACTCAAGTCAGGATAATCGAACACTGGTGGGATGGAATAGGAAAGTGGAAAGCATAAATACAATTAATTCATAATATCTTAATTAATCATATTATGAACTAATCCTTTAAACCACAACCGCAAAAATAGAACACAACAACCTAAACAAATATCCACCTCGTTGAATATCACCGAACAGAGTGATTTTTAGCACCAAATTTTCCCCAGAACCCCCATAGAGAATAACGACAAAGCCTCAACACAAATTCTAGCGAGGCAAAAAAATCAACGAGGTGGTTGATGAACAAGAACTCCCCAGAACCCCCATTTTACAATTTTTTGGGGGGGCGGAGCCCACGTGCTTGGGTCAAAAACCAGTGGAACCTACAGTGGAATTTGTTAGAATGGGGCTGATGGATGCAGCTTTCTTCATCCCGTTCTTTGGTTCGCTTTGTTGGAGCTTTTTGTTCCACGTTCTTCTGCAGATGGGTTGGCCAACCCTTCCTCCCAGGGGAAGCTGTGAAGAAGACGCTTCCCGATTGTCGCGTGGACGCGCGGCTGTTCCAGCCAGGCCGGAGCGGAAGCTAGCTGGAACAAGCTGTGAAAACGGGTCGGTCTTGGAGGAGAGACCAGGAGGGGACTCCAAAGGAAAAAATACTATTGGGTCGGAATCGGTTTAGTAGTGTCTGACTTTGTTCATTGGGCTGCTAGGTGGTGGGTACTAGTCACTGACGCTTATGACTTTGGTCTTTGGTATTCCGAACAGCTGCTGCCGGGTGGTGGTACTCTTATTCATCGCCAACTTCTGTATTTTTGGCACTCGGCTTTGTTCACCCCTGCCGTTTGTTCTCCAAAGACACCCTGAAAGGTTTCCAGCCGGAGCAGGCTGGGCACAGGGGGATTGGGTCGGGATGATGGTGACTAGTTCGGGGTGGGGCGGTGCATGTTGGCTTTCGAACAAGCTTTTGTATGGGGGCTTCGGCTTGATCAAGAGGATACTTTGTAGTTTGCATTTGAAGGTCCACTGTTACTGCACTCAGTTGATCGGTGAACCCACATGGCTTGACGCTCAAAGCCACCGCGGCTGGGCGAGGCAGAGAAGGGCTGGGCCTGGCGGCTCCTGGACGCTTTGCAGACGGAGACGCAGGCGGTGGAGACCGGCCGAGACGAAGGGCCTCGCTGGGTGGAGACGGAGAAGGTTCAATGGCTAGCTCATTTGCTGCTCGGGGAGTGGATTGCTTGAGGGATTGCTTGAGTGGGGTGTGAGGTTGAATCTTTCGGGTCCGTTTTAAGAAACAGACATGTTCTTAAAGAGCTATTCTCAAATCGTCCTTGAAGGTCGTTGTGCCACAGAAGGCCATCACACAGAGCCTTCGTTCTTGCTTGGCAGTTCCTTTGGGCCCAACCCTGCTTCGGCCTACCTTCGATGGATGCTTTGTCTTCATGCTGACAGCAAACCCAGTGCTGCACCCCACCCGCAGCTCTGGGTCATGCACTCTCCATCTCTCCTGGTCCTCACAGGCCGGAGCGATGCCGACCACGCCGGTCGCACCGGCGGCCGCACCGACTCCGGCAGCGCCGGTGGCGGCGAAAGCGGAAGCGACCAGTGCACCGGTGGCGCAGGCTTCGAGTTGAGGAATCTCAGTTGTGGTTCAACGTGGATGAAGGGGAATGATTGGAAGAAACAGATTCAACAAATTCAACAACATCCTTTCTCAGTCATTGAATGAGGGGATGCATTGGAGATCCGAGACGACCTGAGACCAACGCCTTCGCCCCCAACGGCCTCCAGGCGGTACATGCGGAGCTTCCGGAGCTTCCGGAGGCGCCGCCCGCGCCGCCGGAGGCGCCGCCGGAAGAGTCTCCACAAAGCTCTCCGCAGTCGAGGCGCAGAGTTGGCTGGGCCTTGAGGATTCAATATGGTCATTCGGATGGCAGGGAAGAAGAGGCATATCATTTGTGTTCGTTTGTGTCTCTGTCTTTGTCTCTCCCTCTCCCTCCGTCTCCCTCTCCCTCTCCCTCTCCCTCTCTCTACCTTTCAGCAACATGTTGCAAAAAGAGGGCCCAGCCTCGGCCCAGCCTAAAAAGGTTCTCGGGATCCCCCCAACTCTTTCCTGCCAGGCGGAGCTCGCCCCAGGCGCCCCCGCCCGAGGCGCCCCCCCAGAGCTCGGCGCCCTCGCCCCATGCGCCGGCCTCGCCGCAGCGGAGGGGTGCGGCCTCGCCGGCCAAGGCCGCCGATGGGGGCGGTGGGGGCGAGAGTGGGAGGTACGTGGGCAGGTGGAGGGGAAAAGATCAGGAAAAGAGCTGCCAAGCTTTGTTTCTTTTTTGCAGGTGATCAAACATCCGTTTACAAGCTGGAGTGCATGTTCAATGCCTACAAAGACCATTGGTGTTTAGGTGACCTGGAAAGGGAACTCAAGGTGTAGCTTTGGACTTCCAGGGTCAATGTGAGCAGGAAGCTTCGACTTTGTTGCTTTTTTGTTAGGGAATGATTGGTTCCTCTCATTTGCGTTCCATGGATGGATTCTCTCTATTCTTGCTGAGGTTATGCTGTGTACATCAGTGGACACGAGCGTCGTTGCGATAGTCTCATTCCTCGTCATTCCTCGCCACGCGCGGCTTGAGTCTTTTCTCTGGAGTGACAGGTCAGTGGGGTGGCCAGAGGTGTCAAGAACAGTTCCCTCTCCTTTTGTGTGGACCGTGTGAATCGGCTTGGTCCGGTCGGTGACCCACCGCTCCGAACCCCGGTCCGGTCGTCGCGACGGTCCGAACCGCCTGCCTCGGTGCGGCCAGAGCAGCGGCTCCTATGGGGATGAGGAGTTCGATGAGGACTTCGAGGAGGAGTCCGAGGTGGAGGAATGAGCGACGCTCCCAGGAACGACGCGAGTTCCGCGGCCCCTCCAAGGCATTTGGGAGTGTTTTCGAAGAGGCGTGCGTACAGCAAAGTCTGTACCTGCAAGGGTCTTGAATGGCCATTCCTTGAGCTCTTGGAACGCATAGAATCCGTGTTTAGAACCCGTGTTGGTGATTGAACCCGTGTTTAGATTGACATCCTGGAAAACTGGCATAGCAAGGAACTAGGATTGTGTAGTGGGGATGCCACTGAATTATGACGGCTACGAAGGGCATTGGACGGGATTCTGCAGTTCCAATTGATGAACATAGTGCCCTTGGGCTCCGCCACCGCTGTTTCATGGGACGAATCTGTCCTCTGCTTCAGCGCGCATTGTAGCTTTAGGATGGGACCCTGCCGCTGTGGGATCAGATGCCTTTGTTGGTTGGAGAATTCATTTCGCAGAACGGACCCCAAGCATCGCAAAGTCGCCCGCTGCTGGACGCTCACTCGGCATTTCCCTGCTTCCCCTGCTGATCAAAAGACGGGTCGTGGAGGGAAGGAAAAGAACACAGCAGCGCATTCAGTGATCAGTGTCCAATTTCTCTAATCAAGTCTACTGTGCAAAAGGCTCCGGTTGAGCTTTTGGAGATGTCCCAGAACAGATGACTGACATACCAAGAGAGGTCAAGTGATACCTATGGGATAGCCTCTAGTGTTTCGTCCTACCTTGTTTTGGGGATAGCCATTCTGGTGCTACTGCTCCGACCATCCGGCCGTCGGCCGGCCGTTTGGGCCCAGCTTCGAAACCCCGGAGACTCCGGGGACCGACCGTGCGGCCCTGGTTGAAAGGCGCCGGGTTGACCGGGCCGGGTCAGCTCAACGGACGTGCCGAGACGGGGTGGGAGAATTCTGAAGGGACTTGGTTTTGTAGGCTTTAGCTAGAGTGAGTGAGTTCCTTTTTTTGGGGGGAGGCAAACTTTTGTTCAATAGCATGTCATGATCAAGTGAGCCTGAGAACTAGGCCCTGGACTATGAAAACATCTTTTTGGTAGGCAGTCCCACACAATTCGTGCAGCGACACCCACACTCTCTCTGTTCAGGTAAGGCCGTCCAGGAGAAGGACACTGGGAGTCGCAAAAGATGGGAGCCAGGTGGTCCGACTGGTGGTTCAGCTGGTGAGCTCCTGCACCAAGGGTCTGAGTTAGCGATATGGTGACGCGCTTAGAGTCCTTTTCTTGATTGCTCCAGACGGAAAGAAGCCTGGGCGGGACGCCACGCACCACGGGATCGTGATTTTGGGATGCCAAACCCAGAGAACCCAAGAAAGTAGATGCCTGCCAACCCTGGGTAATCTAGGGAAACTCCAACCTGCTCCGAAAACGTCCACCTCTCGGAAGCCTGTCACGTTGGATCCTGTCACTCTGCAGGAGCCATGCCGGTCCTAGCCACCGGCGCCGCCGTCTGGGTGGCCTAGAGACGCCGGCAAAAGTGGCAAGAAACTGTCCCCTTGTTCAGCCAATTCTTGTCACTATGTATTAGGATTTTTACATGAATAAAATGTCTCTTAAGAAATACCATGTAAAAATCCTTACTTTTATTATATTATTCATGGAATTTTCTTAATAAGAGATTTTACACATAGAACATTCCATGTCATAATAATAAAGAAAGTGATAGTTAAACTTATTCAACCAGGCGCGATTCCTGCCAGGCATTTCGGCCAGGCCATTGGGGCTGGATGGAGAACATGACCCACAATCCCATTCCGTTCCCCAAAGACCCACAACCCTTCGATTTCTCTGCCGTGCCACGGTACGCTTGCTGTGATTCATGCAACCACGCCCCTCTGAGACCACTGCTGCGGCGGGTGCAGTGGCCACTGGCGCGTTCAAGTTGGGGCTGGCCCAGTACTGGGATTCGTTATAGAGGAATGGAGTGAAGGAGAGGGGGGAAGGGAAAGGAAAGTGGAGCCAGAGTAACTAGCACGCCGGCCCAGGGCCCACCTAACCGGGTGCCAGATCTCTGCCTTCCATTTGCCCTGCTAGTAAACTGGCTCTTCATCTGCGCCTCTTCAGCAGCTGGACCGAGTCACCTGCTGGTCCCTCTTCGAGGTACAACCGAGCCAACTATCTCTTCGATGCCGGCCTCCGCTTCTCCCGATACACCTCAGGGTACAACTTCGCCATGGCACAGGCCGAGTGGGAAAGAGGGAGAACGAGACAGAGATGCCTACATGGAAGTTTCACTATGGAACTAGTTTAATGTGGAACTATGGAACTATGGTAGTTTGATATGGAGATATGGAACCTGAAACATGGACCTTTGGAAGACTAGCTTCCGCAAACCAGCGGTATGGACCTTGTCACGTAGCGTAGAGTCAAGGACATCCAGGAAGGGACGTTTTTGCAAACAGGTGCTTTTTGGATCTTTTTGGCATCTTCGGCCGCCATGGGATTCTGCAGCTTTCCAGACCTTCTCCAGGCCACACAGTACCGTCAAGACATCCGCGACTTGACTGCCCTGACGGTCACCAAGATGGCGCGCGGGCTGGGCGGGACGTGACATCCCCGGTGGCCAGCTGCAGGGCAGGAACTGGTGGATCGATGGAACCCCCTGATGTTACCATGAAAGGGATGTTGCCATGAATCCTTTTGTTTTGGGGTGGTACAGCCCCCCTTCGGACCCCCGCTGAACAAGGAGACATGCGGCAAAGATTAAGAGGAATGGGTTTGGAGAGAGCTTGGATTGGGCGTAGGTGTTGGCCGCCAGGCTTTGCAGGCCGAGGTTGGAATCTCCTTGGTCGAGCCCACACAAATTGCAACAACATGGCTCTGAAAAGAACAAGTGGGTGAGATGGTGATAGGTGATGCGCGATTTGGCCGTGGTATTCAATTATATTGTGTATATATATATATTGTATGTATATCATCTTCATTATTCACCATGGCATTCCTGTTGCTGAATTGGTGACTTTATGAACCTCCTCCCCCCCACCCCTCCCACCGAAAAAGAAGAGAAAAGCCGGTGAGCCGAGCAGCGGTCGTGCAGTGAGCAGTCTGAATGGAATGAAGAGCTCACCTTTCCTCCAAAAAAGACACACATGGACCTTCCAGAGGCCAGCTGAGGCCTAGGCCAGCTGCAAGTCGCACCTTTGAAGAAGTGGGTTTGTCGATGATGTCACACCCCTGGTCTTTGACGCATTTGGTCTTTGGAGGACACCTACCACGTCATTGGCGTGATTTTCTTTGTGCTGAATTTCCAGCTGATCATGGCTGGACGTCGGGGTGGCCCAAGCAGTCTCTGGCGTGCCAAATGTCCTTGAGATATGTGTGAATCACACTGGTTTGATGCTGGTCAGAAAGGACATATGGGTGAGAGAGTTTGTACATTGACTTGCTGTTGTCAAGATGTTTGCTTCATCCTAACAAGATTCGATTTGCTCGACCGACTCCGCACGCCCCGATTTGGCGTGGAAAAAGCCACGAAAAAACCTGAGGTTTGGGAGTGCACGGACCATCACCTCCGGGCTACATCATGGGCAGGGGCCTCTTAGATTCGCGGGAAGAACTTCGGCTGTGTGACTTGAACAGGTGTGAAGCTTGTGGAGCCTGGGACACCCTACACACGAGTGGGACCACCCACCAGCTTCTTTGGGCTTGTCGGACCAGGCTTGTCCGGATGCTCTTCGTTGCGTCTGGGAATTGGGTTTCCGGCGCACCATGCTTCCACTCTTTCCGCAAGGGGCGGTGTCCATGGTGTCCTGATTCCGGTGTCCGGGGATGTGGACCGTCGCTGGAGATCCAGGTGTTTGTATATAGGTGTTTCCATTTATAACGTCCGGGTTGGAATCCAGCTTCGAAATGCTTTGAAGGGATGTGAAAGCAAACACCCTCCTGGTTACCCATCGGTTCCTTCCATTTTCCTTCCATTCTTGCCGCTGCTGTGAGGTCTCTACTGGGTGAACATTTGCAGTGTACAGCGCTGAGTCATTCTTCTGGGATCTTTGATCAAGGGCGTGAAAAACCTTGGGAGGAGCCTCTCTGCACAGAGTTTTGACGCTTCTCAACTTCCAAACTCTGAGTTTTGATTGTTTCAGGGAGTCTCAATGGACTGAGATGCTGAGGCCCTGATGTTCCTTTGCGTGCTTATTTGGTTCACTCTGCACGTCCGATCCTGAGCTGAAAGGCTGGTCTTTGGAGGGTATGAAGATGAGCTGACGAACATGAAGCATTTCCCAGTGCTTCCAAGTGCATGTTCCCTCCTTCTGAGGCAAGCTTTCTCTGTTTGAAGCAGATTATCTGTTGATATATACTGTAAATATACTGTACATAATAGGTAATTCAGATCTGGTTAGCTCCTCTTCCTCCAGCGCCTGAGCTTCTCTTGTCTCGGTGAGTCCGTCCCACCCCCCACCGAGGCCTCCGCTCGGGCCACCGCCGGCTCCGTGCACATGCTCACGCGCACCGTGCCTTGGGATGAACCGACCCAACGACACCGGCGTCGTGGAAGACGGGTCTTCCGCAAGACGTGGTGGGGGGTTGGAACAGCTGGGTTCACCCGGAGGCAGGTCTTAAGACCTGGGTCTGGGTGAGCCGAGTCTGTGAACGCCGGCGTTTTTGCATGTTATGTTTTGACACACATGTTGGTGGGTCGGTCCTGCCATTGAAGGGCTTAGAAGGCTAAGGGAGCGGGGTGTGGCTTGGGTGTGCTCTTCTCACGACTGGCTGATCTTTGCGGCATGTCGCCACAAGTCCTAGGCTTTCCACCTCTGTTCTCATCTTCCGCCCTTCACACGCGTCCAAATACTTGTGAAGAATGGAAGTGGAAAGCCCCCTGTTCGTAGAGGAAACAGGTCATCAAAGACGGCCATGCCATCCATTTCCACCATGACGATATTTCAGGCAGAATAGTAAATCTACTGTAAAGGATTGTGTTTTTCCTTGATTCCTTGTTGATCATTCTTGATTCATTGGTGATATTCAGTGTTTTGATGGTCTCCTCGCGAGCGCCGTTCCGTCGGCTCCAAGGTGCGTCTGCCGATCCCAACCCCAAAGCAGCTGGACAAGGCGAGTGGAAAGACTGGTGATCCAAGTGGCTGGGGGGGGTAGTTTTGACTTTTTGACTTTTCTAAGTGTTTGGCTTTTGCGTTTTGCCTGGTGTCTTGCAAATAGATCGTAGCTAAAGGATTTAGCGAGCTTAGCCATCCTGAGTCTTCTTCTCTGTGGGGTAGGGTAGAGTCAACATCTAGTGAACCTAGCCCCCCCAAACATGGGTGGGTTGGAGGCTGTAGCAGTGTCCGGCTCCACAAGGCATTGAAGGCCTCATCTTGATCTGGGCACAAAAGGAGTCGCAGGTCGCAGGTCCTTTTGTGTGGCCGTCTATACAAAGCCATGTCTACAGACCCCAATTCCACCGCATGTGCGAAAATGCACCGGTCGCCGGTCGCCAGGCACGCCGCACCGGTAATATGTTCGAGAAGCAGCGCATGACCGACGTCTTCCGCGTGCCCTTCGTGGTGCCAGCGCCCAAGGCACGTGGTGCCAGCGCCCGGGCGATGGGTTTTCGGTGAATACATGGGAGATTCGTGAATGAACCCGTAGCAAGGGCCGGGAACCTCCTTTTTTTAAGAGTCATTTTGATATATTTTGATACTGTTCACCTGGACTTGCTGGTGTGGAAGTACTCGCACTAGGATCACTAGAAGAGCAGTTTCCTTGTTTGAGTTGAGTTGAGAACGAGGTATTCATACAGGCGGTATTCCATTATATTCCATTTTGGGCCAGTCAGAGGATCCAAAGGTTTGGCACTTTTCCACGCTCCAGGAAGCCACAGCTGAGGAGCAAGCGGACCCTGTCCGCTCGATAGCAGGGGCTGGGCGAATGGAGAGGGTGTGCCGACATCGGCTTCTGTTGCTCACATTGCATGCAATCGTTACGGCCTGCAGCCTGCAGCCTGTGCTGAAACGGGAAAGACAAACAACTGTATCTGTTGGTTTTCCAGATGTTTCCTCGCTGTTCCAGTCCATGAGCGTATCAACCGAAGACCGGTTTGAACCTGAACCAAGATGAGTTCATGCACTTTCGCCCAAAAGCCTGGTATTTGCACAATTATTAGCAAGCCAAGCAAGCTAAGGTTCGATAGATTTCTGCAGTTTCAGAAGGCTTTGATGAGTTCCTCGCTCCGCTTTTTCCTCGCCTCCATTTGAGGCCAAGAAGGTGGCGCCAGCTGGAAGCACCCGGAGGCCACCTGGGTGGGTCCGAAGAACGCGGCCGAAGCGTGTCCAGGGGGTTTGAGGAGAAGAGAGGACCCATGGATGCCAAGAACAAGCCTTCCTTGCAAGATTGGTAGTAAGGACCCGTAGTAAGACCCGTCGAGTCAAGATGGACCTATGGATGCGATTGACACGAGAGTTGAGCGTGGAGAGTGAAGGATTCCGATTGTCAAGACGTTCACCACTGCGCTTTATTTCTGCGTGCGTGGTGCTCGTTGATAGCGTCTCCGGCCGCCCGGTGGTGCGCTGAGGATGCCCAAGTGGTACCAGGACGAGCAGAAGGAGCTGCATGCCTCCAAGGGTGGAGCACATCGCAGTGGGGTTCTCCCAGTGGACGGAGGGGGACGACTCCAGAAACATGGCTGGGACTGGACTCCAACACCATTGCACTGTGCACAATTTGAGATCTGATGCCATTCTGCTGATCTGGAAACGGCCTCTACAACCTCTGACGCTGTTGGCTGCTTGCAGCACACATGTTTAGGGCTCATGACCAGACCAGCAGGGATGGACCTCGCGTGCCGCACGGTGACGGACATCGGTGCCGTTCCTTCAGATGCGGTCCCCGAGCACTTCGAGCTCTACCGCGGCTTGCAACAGGCAGGGCACAGTAGCCTTGCAGTAGCCGCAGCCCATCAGCTTAGCTGCAGCTGCCACCTCGACTGTGGCTGGTAGGAATGGGCAGTGCACGACTGCTACTCGCGCATTGGCATCCTCTACTTCTTCTCGCACTGGCTCACCTCCGCCCGGACGGCTCAGTCGCATGCTCTTGCTGCCGATCTCCCAAATCTCTGATTCTGCAGCCAAAAGTCTGACTATAGGCAGGGGGGGGCGGCTAATTACTCACTATACCCGAGTTTTTGGGGGACTTTTTGGGGGGAATTTCGTGCAAGACATTGAATCAATCTCCAGCGAATGGAGCCCGAATCCTGCGGGCATCCTGTCCGGCTGAGAGCCTGGCGTTCTCTGTCCTCTCAGGTCTCCTTGTACTCCCAGTGCCACTGCTTCGGTGAGCTGCGTGCGGCCGGGGCATCCCAGGAAGGAGAGAAGTGAGAGTCCCAGGAGGAAGGTTCGAAGCAGTCCCGGGTTTGGGCGGGTGTTTTTCGACCTCCTTTTTTTGGTGTGTACTGTATGTACAGTCATGTTTTTGCCGTGGTTTGGAAGGAGTTTGCAGGGCTGAGGCGGCTGAGCGAGAGTTTCAGGAAGGCAACATCTCAAGACCATGATTACGATTACTGTTAGGATCTTGAGAGCCAAAAGAGTACACAAAGATTTCAAACGAAGCTTCTTGAAATTTTTAGCTCCACGCCATTGTCTAAGCCCCTCCACCTTGCCACCTTGCACCGTTGTCTAAGCTTTGGCCTGCCTGGAGCGTGACCTTTATCTTCACCATTGCTCATTGGTGCCTCCTGAAGCTGGACATTCAAGAGGAGCGGTAGCGAAGGCCTTTCTTTTTTTCAAAGCAAGGACAATTTAGGAGACGCATCGAACATCTTTCAAATTTGGACTGTTTTTTTTGCACCCGGCAGTTTTTTTTTTTTTTTTTCAAATTTTAAGACTCCGTTTTTGGTATGGATTCTTTAAAGTCTATGCAGTAGTCTAGGTGGATGATGGACGCTTCACTCACCTGTCCTTGCATCCAGACGGCTTTCTTAGATGACTTTCTACTCCTCCTCTTTGTTGTCGTCTTCGACCCGAGAACTCGACCGAACTCGACGGACGCGGGACGCGTTGATCGTCCGCCAGGAGTCCGAGAGCCGCTTCCTGGCCATGCTGCCCATTGAGCACCTCTTGCCCTTCACACCGGCGCGCGCCGAATGGAGGGGGGGGCGGATGGGTCGGGCGGGAAAGCACGGTTATTTTTTCCGTTGGGAGTCGGTATTGTACCCGGGATCTGAATGAAGGGGATGTGCCATGACTCGATCATGATGCAGATGATCTGGCAGGTCTGCAAGTGGCAAGTTTCATTGTAAGGGGTAAGTAAGAGCAAAGTCTTCAAATCTTGGCGCCAAGCTGGGAAAACATTCTTGGAGCTTTCTGAAGTCCTGGATTCGCTGCTCTTCCGTGGCGTCTTGGATTTCCGTCCCACGGTTTCCGCGGGCAGATTCTCACGGTTGCGGCCATGTCCTTGGACTACAGCGTGCTGCGGCCGGGCGACGGTGCGGGGCGCCTGGTGGGAGGACGAGGAGGAGGTGCCAGGACGCCTGGTTGGATCTGCTAAGGGAAGTGATCTCGTTGACGAAGAAGAACGTCTCGCCGTTCAAAAATGAACAGCTTTAAGTTGCTGAACAAGAGAGCAGTGGTTCCGCCTGCTTGCCATGCAATGGCATGCAGGGATCAGCCTTTGTTCCTCCCAACCCCTATCTTGTTGTCACCTCTCATTTCCATCTTCAATTACTTCTTGCGCTGCATTCCACAGATGAAAGACTTGCCAACGGAACCCTTCTGATCAGATGGATACTCCATGCAGAACAGAACCACTCCAAGCTCAGAATGCACTGCAGGTTGGATTGCCGTGATTTACTTGATCTCTTGGGCTGCCTATGTGATCCACTTCTTGTGGGCCTTGAGGCGCTCCCACTTGGCCTCACGGGGCGGGGTGTGTGGGTTATTCGCATCGAATGCCTCACGCTCCCGAGAAGGTCCTCATGGGCCAAGGTGGAAAAACCACCAGCCGTTTGTTTTTTTTGCAGAAATGGTCCTCCGAAGGGGCCATGCCATCCACGAAACCACCATGACGAGATTCAGGGAGAGAGCACCTTCATGTGTTGCAACATTTTCAGGATAGGTGTTTTCCTCGATTCCTTGTTGATCATTCTGGTGGCCAACCAACGGGCCTGCCCGTTGCACTGTTGGGGCTCCGCCGCGTGGGCATCCGCGTTTTTTTTGCTCTGCCGATGTGGTGAAGTTACGCAGGCTCTTCGAGCTGGCCATGCCGCATGCTCAGGCCGGGAGATCACGGGCGCAGTGCCCAAAGCAGCTGGGAAAGTGCTTGGAATTGGATGTTTGCGTGGAAGAAAGCGGCCGTAAGGTCCATACAGACCATGATGGATGGGGATTTCTTAGCACTCTGGCTTGCTGTCTTGTGGCATTCTTGCGAGTACCTTCGTCCACGGCAGTCGTCGCCAGGCAGATCCTCCTGAGATCCCAGGGAAGCCATGGACTCCAGGGGAGTGGCTGGGGGGCTCAGCTCCGCTCCGCAGCGGAAAGTAGAGATGGCGCGGATGGTGCGAGGCACCAGCCGATGAAGGAACATCGAAAAAAACCCTGTACTGGTACCAGATTGGGTTACCCAACCGATGAAGGTTACCTATGTGCAGTTGAAGATTGGGGGTCGAAGCCAGACCTGAAGGCCACACCAAACTCCTTGATGCCCCTCTGGACGTTTTGAGGTGGCTGCCACGTGCGTCTGGCGGCCTAGGGGAAAGTGCTGCGTCAGGTGGAGGGAGTTTGATCCATGATTGAACAGATAGACATAGATACATAGACGTGACATTCTTCATCCGGATCAAAACCATGTTGTCATTGTACACATGTCGCTATTCCTCCCATGCCACCGCTCCTCAGCATGAGTTCAGCACAGCAATCATACCCACAATGGGTCGTCCTCAAGTGAACACTCTCGAGTTTCTCTATGTCACCTTTGAGGCCATGGGACCAGGTGATGACTAAGTCAAGCCGTGGCAGCGCTCGTGCGCTCGCACGCCCGTGCGGCAGCGACGTTGCCGGCAGGTTCGCCAGCACCGTCTACATCGTTGCGCCTCCCAAACAGCTCGAGCCTGGGAACACGTGCTTGCAGCAGGAGCCGCCCGGGCGGGACCTGCAGACGCGCGAGCCGCGGGCCACGTGCCGCGGCCGGGGGTGGGGATTTGGGTGGAAGAACCCCGGTGCGGCCAAAGGGAGGGTGCTTGGATCTGATTCCGGTGGATTTCATTGGGGATTTCCAGTGGGAACACTTATGACAGGTCTTGCACGAAAACCCTCGGGTGGCCCACTGGTGGGCTCTGCCAGAATTGGAAGCCAGGAGATGAAGGCCGCGAAGGGCAACAAGGGTGTGAACGTTCCGCAGAAGAAGACCAGGGAGGCGCGACCTTTCTCAGCACGGCTTGGAAGCAGCAAAACGCACTCCAACCGGCCGTGCGTTGGCTCGCTCGCTCGAGCTGTTTTGACGCCGGTGAGTGCACGTGCCCAGATTTCCCCGATGCTCTACCCCTGGAAGCTCTTCCGTGGTGCCATCCTCACCAACATCTGTGGGGAGGCTTAACCTGCGAACAGCCTCAGGGTCTGCTGTCAGTGGCACATGTACCAGGAGTGTGGCAAACATCGTGGACTTTTCAATTGACCACCAAGCAAATAGCCTGTCCAAGTTCCAGGCCAAAAGAAAACATGGACGTCGAGATCCTTCATGTTGGGCCCCCCTTCAAGCAAGGAAACACTTTGTGGTTGGATGTCAACAAAGATGATGGTCAGCTGCCACCTGCCGGGCCCAGCTCGGCTTCAGAACGGTCCTCAGACCCGTGAGGCCTTTGGATCTTCATGATGTTTGGCCGCGTCTTCGATCAGGTGCGCCGATGTTGGTCCCTCTTGAGGGGTGGGTGATTTTGGTAGACTGAAGGAAGTCAAAGGGGATGCTTGTGGCTGGCTATTTGGCTGGGATGTTTTTGGGTGAGTCTTTGTTGAGCAACGCACCCACTTCGAAGCGTTGGGCTGCAGCGGTTGCTGGGGGGCATCTCATGCAGGTTCATGGTGAACGTCAGCTACTGAAGCAAGAGGGCCGCGTGATGCCTGGCGCTCAGACACCACCCCCCAGCACGCCACCATGGCATTCAGCCGACCACTCTCCCGTCCCGCAATTCGGCGGCGGCGTGAGGGAGTGTAGTGCTGTGTGAACAAGATCTACTGACTGGTGCGAGTCGTAGGGAGTCATTCCCTGCTCGAGTCGTAGGGGGAAGTTTCGCCCCCAAGAGAGATTCCCTAATAGAAACCCTTCAGCACTTCAGCCTCCCCATGACCCTTCAGCCTCCCCATGACCCTTCAGCCTCCCCATGACCCTTCAGCCACCCTCATTCCCTAGCAAATGCCAGCCGAACCATCGGAAGAACATCGTCCGAATGCCGAAGGCGCTGGCCGTCGCACATGCAGCCTTGGATGACTCCTTGGACCCGCAATGGCACACGCCGGGGGCACACGACGAGACCCAGAGACTGGGGACGGACAGGGACTCTGGATGCGTGGGTGAGGGCCGGGCCACATAGAAAGGAGGGAGTGTGGAGGGTCGTGTGACACGTGTTTTTGGGATCCAAGGTGCTGGGCGGGTTGGAGTTGGATCCTCGAATCGATCCTCCTTTCCTCAGTGAGGCTCACTTCCTCCTTCGTTTCTGCGTCCCGTTCGAACGCTGGGACCCATCGGGTTCGTTTGTGGCGTCTTTCTTTCGTCAGGCAACGAGTACGCGCACACGGGCGGTGCCGATCGCCGTTTGATGGTGCGGTGGCCCGTTCTTGGACAGTGGATGGAGTGCCTTCCTGGAGAGAGCGTGGGATGGACATGCCTGCGGGAAGTTCAGAAGTGCCTGAACAAGTCGTTCGTTTGTAGGGTATTGACAGAACCGGCCTTTCTCAATGTTTCTGGGGTGATGACTAAGCACGTGAGGATTCCAGCAATGGAGCAAAGACCAACGTTGATTGCTGAGATGCCTCACAAGTGTTCAGTTCGTGGATCACCCAAGCTCTCAGCATTTCGCATAATTTTTCAATGTTTTTCCCAAACTGTGAAGCTTGGACTCCTCGAGGTGGCTAAGATATGTACTGGTCCCACATTCATTCGTGGATGTCCCATTTCCATTAAGGAACACTTGGAACACTTGGACCTCTTGAGAGAGGAGAAGGCGTGAAGCATGGAGCATGTCATCATGCTTGAATTATGTTCAGATTCATAGAAACATTGAGGAACACCCACTGACTGGAAATGGCTGAGCACCACTCAAATCCTCCATTCTGGAGGAGCAGATAGACAGATAGGCTAACATATTCCATTGGCGATGTTCTTTCTATCTTCTATCTGGATGGTAGGGTCGTTTGTTTCTGTTGGACACTTACCGTTGTTCGTTTCTTCGTTGCCCTTCGGCCATGCGAAAAAGAAACGTCTTGTTGCATCTTATTACAACAAATAACACACACTCTGACACTTGTATTCAGTGAACTCAGTTACCACGTTGGGA